ATAAAACTGTCTCGTTCCCTTGTTGTTAAATTAGTTACTTAAATTTGCATTAAATGAGTATATAAGCCAACTGTCGCTGAAATTTCAGGAAATAATATCTGGACTTCATGTTAAATATTGCAGATATTGAAAAAAAAAGTCTAGCTCCAGCCCAGAACTTTGTATTAGGTTTTTGAGGGGAAGAAGCAAACATCCAAATGACTCATTCATATAACTCCTAAAATGATTAACTATTATTCAGTTTTCTTTACTAGCTTCTAGTTTTATTAAACTTGGAACATTAGGACCAAGTCCAAACTTGCTTTTGGACTGCCTGCTGTGATGTCATGCAGACTTCATTTGGTGTAAGTGCATATTTGCATATTCTATGGCAACCTTTGTCCTTATCTGCTTAGCATGCAACAACTAAAGTAATATATCACTGCATCACATTGTGTCATTTTCTTGATGTAAAAAACTAAAGGTTTTCACTAACAAAAAACTAAAGTTTCATTCTGTTTCAGTCTCTCAGTTACAAAACTCCCCTACAAGAGCACTGTCTTTATAATTGATGGTTATAAGACACTATGTGACTTAGTGCTAGAACAGTATTGCATTTAAATTAGCCTAAGCAAGAATTCCAATCTTCAGTTATATTGCTCTCAAACACACATAATGTGACATGACAAGTCTTTGCTGTGGGAGGCAGAAGGTATTTGGGAGAAGAAGTTTTTTCCCCAAGGCTGTTGCCCATTGGTGGGTTCATCCACTGTGGTGGACAGCCTCCACTCAAAAGCCTTATCCCAGTTACAGTAGCTGGAGTGGTCCTTGAAAACATAAATCTGATCATGTCACCTCTCTGATTAAAGCTTTCAATGGCTCTGCACTCCATTACAATTCTGTCTAAGCTCCTTGATGAGACTTACCTCTTCAATGTCATCTCAAGCGGAATCATTTAACTCCTTCCCCATTCCACGATGAAAACCTGGTTTTACCTTTGTGAAACCCAACGTTCTTTCCCATGTACTTTCATATACTCTATTTCATTGGGCTCTCATAACATCTCTCAGATGCTGCCACAACAGAAGACATTACACTCCTTTTGCATGTGATAAAACTGGTACAAAGAATTACACTTGTGTTCTCAATCTAGCTATAGGTTTAGAATAACTCAGGGAATTTGTAAAATACAACCACAGCTTTTGTTCCAGAAATTCTGATCCCAATGGCCTGATGGAGACTCATCAGTATCTTCCAAAAGAGCCTTATTTTAGTCCAATGTGCAATCAGAGTTGAGAATCACTGGGTTACACAGTGCTGAGCTTAAAGACACAAATATGTTAAGTAAAAGCAGGTATCATGATCTGCTGAGTACTTTTCACCACTTCCCTCTTCTCTACTCCATCACACCAAATATTGTAATTATAGAATCTTTACTCAAGGACAATTTTGGCAATTTGCTTAATTATTATATATTTTCAACAATTATAAAACAATTTCCTGGAAAATATTCTCAATATAGACTTCTTGCTAATTTCGACTGACTTGTTTTCTGAGTTAGCATGAACTTGAGTTCTAAGCGCTTGCCATGCTATCTTCATGAGTAAGCCTCAGGATAGAAACTGCTGTCTCAGGCTACTAAAAATGGCAGCTTATATAAAAAAGCACTTCCATCTCTTTGTCCCCACTACTTTTTGGGTTACACCTCTGCTACCACACCCTGTAGATTATATTGTCCTTGATCTCTTTTCAAGCTTGCTTCACTCACAGACTGAATCTTTCAGTGCCATCTCAGTCAGTTTTGTGAAATGAATAGATGCACAACTCTGGTGCTCAAAACAGGTCTGCAGCTCTGGGCAGGAGGCGGTAGACATTGGCCCTCCCACTTCTCCCTTCTGTGTCTTCTATCTCTCAGCTCTTTTGCTGGAGAGATGAATTTTGATGTCTTTTTAAAGATTTATTTTATTTATACAAAAGCTGGGGTATAGGCCAGATGCATGGGAGGGTGAGAGGATTCACCAGAGACAGAGCGGGGAGCAGAACAGGCAGACAGAATGAAAGCACTGCTGAGGGGAGCAGCGGGTGAGACAGGAGAGGTCTGCTGAGCCATGTGGGAATCTCCCTGGCCGCTGGCAATCGAACCCATGCTGCAGAGGCTGCAGACAGCTTCATCAGCGCTGTCCTCAACCAGCTGCGCCACCGGGGACACCCTAAGATTTGATGCCTTTTGATTTTTTTAAAAAGATTTATTTATTTATTTATACAAGCACTGGTTACAGTCAGAAGCGCGGGAGGGTGAGAGAACTCACCAGAGCCAGAGCGGGGAGCAGAGCAGGCAGAATGACGAAATATGCTGCTGAGGGGAGCAGCAGGCGGCAGGAGAGGTCTGCGCGCTATGTGGGACCCTCACCAGGGGCCGGGGATCGAACCGGCGCTGCAGAGGCTGCGGGCATCTTCGCAACCCAGTGCTCAACCACTGCGCCACCGGGGAGCCCAATGTCTTTTGATTTTAACTAAGAATGGAATTGCCAGATTCTACATTATTTTGAAGCAAATAACTGACAAAATTTTATCCACACGTAATTCAGCGTGTTTCTTAAAAGATAAGGAATCTTTTATTTATATAGCCACGATAATTAATAATTGTTTAATATCATAAAATATTCATTGTTCAAATTTCCAATAGTCTCATTATGTTTCCACCCCAAGTTTGTATACATCAGGATTTGCACAAACCTATTATTAGAGTTGACTGGTATCTTTCAAGTCTCTCTCTTTTTTAACTACTTTCTTGAGATATAATTCACTGATTTAAAGTAAAGACAATGTTATTTCAACTATCTCCTCATTCACTACTGCATTCCTATATTATTAAAAAATTCATTGAGATATAATTCAATGCCATAAAATATACCATTTTCAAGTACACATTTCAGTAGTCTTTAACATACTGACAAAATTGTGCAAACATTATTATTCAATGATTTGTACTAACAAAGTTAATATAACCATCACAAGTCTCTTTTTAATCTATAGATTTTTTTCTCCATACCTGTCTATTTCTTTTGTAATTTATTTGTTAAAGAAACTTTTTTGCTTATCCTTTAGAATTTCCATAGTCTGAGTTTGCTGTTTACATCTCTGTAGTATTTCCACCCCCTGCTTCTCTGTATTTCCTATAAGTTTGTAGTTAGATAAAGATGACTAATGAAATTTAGGTTCATTTTTTTCCCCCCTACAAGACTACTTCATAATCAATTTTATGTTCTAGAGGCATGTATATCTCATCTTTTATTTTGTGAAGCTGGTAGTGGTTGATTCTCAAGAGTAAATTTCTAAATTCATTAGGAGTTACAAAAGGGAGATATTCTATTATCCTTTATTATTTAGAATACTCCTATAAGAAGAAAATTTCCCTCATTCATTTGGTTACTCAGTGGTGCAGCTTCTTTAAAAAAATTAACATATTTTGATTTTCCTGTTTTAGAGTGAAGGCTTTATTTCACTTATCAGACATTTTCAGAGGCAGTGGGTTGTAGTGGTTAATGGCTAAAACACCTGCCCACAGGGATTGAACGTGGGAAAATAGGAGGCAAGATCCGTGGTGACCTGAAATTTTCATAATTTGACTTAGAGGATATGCTTTCTCAGCTCCTGCACATTTCTCTATTTTTCTCTGCTCCATGTAAGACTTCCTAGATGAGCATCAGGAAAAACGAGAAAAAGTCCTAGATTTAAGAACCCTGAAAACTTGTTTTTCCTGAGGAATTTATATGCTTTTCCTTATCATTAATAAACATTAGTGAATCAGGCCTCCCCGGTGGCGCAGTGGTTGAGCTCTGGGTTGCGGGGCTGCTCCCCAGCCACCAGAGGAGGGTCCCACATGGCGCAGACCTCTCCTGCCGCCCGCTGCTCCCCTCAGCAGTGTACTTCGGTCCTTCTGCCTGCTCTGCTCCCCGCTCTGGCTCTGGTGAATTCTCTCACCCTCCCGCGCTTCTGACTGTACCCAGTGCTTGTATAAATAAATAAAAATAAATAAAATAAATTTTAAAAAAATAAACAAAAATAAACATTAGTGAATAATCTACATTTTCCCACTTTGCACTGCGCCCAGTAAGTTCAAAACCAAATTTTTTGTTTAATTTTGGAACAATAGAAAATTTCTGATCTGCACATCTACATTTTCCTCCTACCCCTACCTTTTGTATTTGTTCCTGTCTTTATGTTGATTCCAATTTTCTACAAGCCAACAGTAGTTTGATTGAATAAAAAACATTTAGGTAGCCATCGGTCATCTGCAAGAGCACATTTTCCTTGGCTTTCTGCTCACTGCCGAGTGTGATTTTAAAAATACATATTAATGTAGCATCCAATGGCTCCTCACTGGAGGTCTTCATTGTGTTTTTAAGATTGCTGGAGGGCTTGAAAGCTTCCCCATGTTAGCAGGTTTAAAACTGTGTGTTTGCTAGGGACGTGCTTTATGCCGAGTGAAGGAGGAGTTCAGTCCGTGGACCTGAATGACAAGACAAATAAATGAACCCCGGGATTATCTTTCTCTTACATTTAAGCTTTGACTCCGCCCAGGGTTGCTTCCCCCATCTGAGAGTCCTTTGTGTGTCAACGGTCGGCCAAGGGAATCTCAGTCAGTGAAAACAGAGGAACACTGTATTGCCCCCAAATATATTTATTATGTGAAAATCTCATTTCTGGTGCTAGTGTTTACGAGAAGGGGCTCCTGAACGCCTGCGGTCTCTGATCTCCGGTTGCTGGGACTCCTGCAGGCGGGGCCTCGCTCACTCGGTCTTCGATTGGTCCGCCTGACCCTGCAAGTCTCCCAGACGCGGTGTCGCTCTGCGCGGTGGATGCGAGCGTTGAGTGGCTGCTTTGGCCTTTCTTTGCCCCCCCCAACAAGTTTTTTTTTTTTTTAGCCATAGCTATGGTTACCACGTCTCTCCCCGCCTCCCTCCACCTACCAAGAAGGCGGCCTACTATTGGCTGTCTGTCACCAAGGAAGTCAGTCATTGGCCACTGTTGAAGGCCGGGCGCTCCCCCTTCCCCGGTCTCCCGGGTCTCTTGAGGAGCCCAGGAAGGAGGCTCCGCTAGTGCCGCCGGGCCAGGGGCTGCCGGGACCGGGCTGCGGCAATTGTTAACCGGTCATGTCGGCCGCCCAGGGCTGGGACAGGAACCGCCGGAGGGGAGGAGGCGCCGCCGGCGGGGGCGGCGGAGGTAGCGGGGCCAGCGGGGGCAGCGGGGGCAGCGGGGGTCGGGGGACTGGCCAGCTCAACCGCTTCGTGCAACTCTCCGGGAGGCCGCACCTGCCAGGTGAGTCCCGGGACCGGGTCCTGACAGCTTGCGGGCGCGGCGGGGAGGTGGCTGCCGCCTTTTTCTTTTCTCCCTGGTTTTCTTTTCCTTGGGAGGAGGAAAGTCAGGCCCCACGCTTAGCAGAGGGGCTGGGGATCAGAGAAAAGGAAAGGTGTCTTTGAGGTCAGGGAGGGATGAGGAGCACAGCGGAAAAAAAGTATTTTTGCTCTGTTGAAAGCTGTGTGTTAAGAGATGTGTTTTCTTTTCAAAGGAGAGGCCGCTGTTACATTGACATTACCAAATGTTTCGCTTAATCGGTTCCCAGTCTCTGCTTCCGCAGTTTGATCTTGTAAAAGAAAGACGTTGGTGCCCAGCAGTGGCAAATAGGGGACTCAATTAAGGGGAGAAGGAGAGAGATTCCAAAGAGTGGTTGTGTAAAAACCACCTCAAGTGTGTAAGAGTTAGGTATTCTGAAACAAGGAAGGAGGAGGAAGTGTGTGTATGGCGTGGGAAATGACTGGGGGAAAGAGCCTAGAGATTAGGAAAAACGAGTGGAATTATTATTTTGGAATATCCAGAGACAAACTATGATAGTAGTGTTTGGATAGTAAGAGGAGTAAACGAAGACCAAGAATTTCCTTAGTGACACAATTACGCTGTGTCTGCAATATAAAAAAAACTGATTGACAATTGGAAAAATGTATCCAATGCCTTTGTTTTATGTTTGGGCCTGTAATTTTCTATGCTTGAGTTTAGATGTCTTATAAAACAAAGACAAATCAAATCGATACGTGTGTGCAGACAATTTTAAAGACATGCATTTTTTAAGTGAATATTCAGTATGGTAGAAGGAAGGTGGGGGAGTAAATTCTGCACACAATGTGAAGTGTCATATTGGGCAAGCTTATTTTGACGGTGAATAGGAGAACTATCAGGAATGATGTCTTATTCATTCACCCTGTTTTTTATGTGAATAATGTTGAAGTTGATTTTTACCAGTGATATATTTGTTTAACTGATGTGCTTTGAGAACATGATGGGTTTTGAATTGTGTTTACTATCGTGTCTTGTACTTTTAAGTAGTTAAAAATTGTTTGATTAATTCGAAGATCAAGGGAAATTTACATATTCAATGAGACAATTGCTTATGCTTGTGATAAGGTTATTGATGTGTTGGGAGCACACATTAACTCATTATATGCACCATTAAAATGAACATCGATGCACTGAATTGGTCAGATGTATAAGATATAGTACCAGGAGTTGGGTTTGAGATAATAGTCAGACTGGGTATTCTAAAATTGCTAAATATGTCATCTGTAACATGAAAAAAAGGGAAAATCTTATTTCTTATCCCAAATTAATAGCAAAAACCTATATTTTGTGCATTGACAGATTAGAAGATAAATCTCTTACCAAAAACTATCACCCTTTTGCCTTCAACTACTACAATCTTTAGGTCTTTGATCTTAGATTAATTATGCTATGGACTTCATATTGGCATATCCAGGCTCCAAGAACCTGGTTGGTGCACTTCCTGGCTGCCACCACCTGATGGCAGTGGAAGCCATGGTTTCTAATAAGGTGTGGGACTGTTTCTGCATTCCTTAAGCACACAAGGCCAAGAGCATCAGTTTGTCCAGAGGTAAAGATACATGCCTCAAAGATTCATGGAATGGGGTCATCAGCCTGTCCTTTTCTGTTTTCTTTTCCCTTTCACTGGCTCTTTACTCCTTCTTTCCCAAGTAGGCAACCTCTTTTCTTTACTCTTAAAATTGGGAGCATCTGGATCTCAAGATATGCTCTAAGATGCTTTCACACCAGTTCTTTATTCTCCCAAGTATTGCATTTTAAACAGCCCCTCCTACCTTGTTTGAAAGGTTTTATTTTGAGATGTTTAAAATGATTTTAGGTGATGGGAGGATGAGAAATGTCTAGGCCTGTTTTATGGCTGACGCTGGAGGTAAAATAATTTTTTTTTTTTAAGTAGAAGCAGCTAACTTTCTCTGTCCTTTGAAATCTAATTCCATTTTCCATTTTTGATCCTTCTGTATCAAGACTTTCAGATACTCTGAGCACCCAGAACCCTCTCTTCTTGTGTCTCTACCCTCTATTCAGCCCCAGTGAATCAAGACAATCGGGTCTTCCTGGAGTATTCTCTCTCTCCTTTATTCTCTCTCTTTTTAAGTCATAGCATCTTCATACCTACAGTCATGCAAACCAAAATTTGGGCATCCTCCTTAACGTTTTCCTCTCCTTTAAAGTTCAGGTGTAATCCATCACCAAGCCCTGTTTATTTTATTTCTGCCATAACTGCAGTCCAAGCTGCGATCATCCCTTTTCTAGGTCTCCTGCAGTAGCTTTCTAAGCATTCTTCCTGCTTCTCTTGCCCTCCAATTCATACAATGTGCTAATCTTTTGCAAGTGCAAATCTAGTCTCATATCTGTTTTCAACGTTTACTAGAGTTTTGTTCTTAGAATAGGAAAAAATCCTTAATGTGGCAGAAAAGATACTGCATGGTCTGCCCCCTTTCACTCTCCAGTTAATCTTGCATCATGTTTTCTCCCTCCAAAGGACACCCTTTCCCACCTCTTTAGACATTCCACTTCCAGCCATTGCACATGCTATCCCACCATCTAGGAATCCTCTTCCTACTCATCTATCCTTATTTTAACTTCTCTTCCATTGGTTCTCACCTTGATCCCACCCTGTTTTTCAGGGGAGCCTTCTCTGATGTTTCTGACTTGAGTGCTTCCCCCTGTACACACTCACAACTCCATGTGGTTCTCCTTGAGCTTACATATTTGTGTGATCCCTTGATATGTGTGATTTAATATTCTTGATATTACACACCAGTATATATGTATATACAAACATGTACACATACTCATATGTATTTATTCTTAAATTTAAATTAATACTTTGGCATTACATATAAGCAAGTTTCTTGTGAATTTGATCTGTTTTAAGGCTGATCCTGGAGGTAAAAAATTATCCCCTTATAATCCCTTTGACCCTGGACAAATGGATGAAATCAAATTCTTAAATATGTAAAATAGTGAACTAGACCTTGCATCCATAGTGACGCTAAAATGATGATTTGTGAAACCTTGCTTGTGCAACTTCTTCCCTTTTTTCTGTCTCCTAAAATATAATAGTGATTATGTGTTTGCCCCATAGGCCAAGACATCCATACCTTCTTAGTCCTGGATTTCTACCAACTCATAATCTCTACATACCTAGTAAAGAATAGGTTACAGTGCTTTTTTGTAGAATAGGTAAGTAGAAGTAGAGTTCAGGGCCAAGGAGACCATGGGAATAAGGGAATTCAAGTTATATTGTGATATAACTGAGTAAATTTCATTAAATACTTTGCATTGTTAGCTGGGAAAAATTTGACATTGTGCCTAATATGAACAGGAAAACTGACATAGAGGAGGAAAGCCATAACAAAACTGGGTAAAGATTATATAGAAAACAACTTAAAAAATAATGTGATTTATGTTCATGGATAAAATCCAAATGATAAAAAGAGAATATAACAAAAGTCGTTTTCCTTCCACCTTTGACCCCAGCTAATTTGTTTCCTTTTCTAGAAATAACCAAACATACATTTCTTGTGTATCTTTTCCTGAAGTGTGTTTGGGGCCTGTGTGTGTGTGTGTGCGCACACGTGCGCACGCGCTCGAAGTGGGTGGAGAAAGCCGTGCATGTATATATAATTTTGCACACTGGTGAGTCTGTCTTTAGAATACATTCCTAGAAGTACAATTGTTGGGTGAAAGGATATGTACTATTTAATTTTTGATAGATGTTCACAAATTGCCTTCCTTAGAGGTTGTGCCAGTTTATATGCACCACGGGCATGCTGGCTTTCCATTCCTATGTTAACAGAGTGGGCAATCAAACTCTTTTAATTGCCCATTTAGTAGGTATATTTTTCTTTATCATTTCAATAGGCATACGAGCCTTATTTGTTTCCTTTATTTAAAATATCTTTTAATATATTTTTATTTACCTGGTTGTATCTTTGGTTCACCTTTTATTGGGATATTTCATATTGCTTATAGGAACTTTATATTTTAAGGATATTAGCCCTTTTGACATGTGTTGCAGATATTTTTCATTATTTGTCACTGGGCCTTTGACCTGGTTTATGGGATACTTTTCAGCAAAAATTAGGAATTTTTTATAGTTGTAATTATCAATCTTTTTTTGATTTTAGGTTTTGTCATAAGAACTTCTCTTCCATTGGTAGAGAAGTTTTTTTCTTTTTCAATATTATTTCTAACTGAAATAATGATAATGAAGTAATTTCACTAAATTGAAATTCTTCCCCTCTCCCCATACAAAATATCAGTTGCATTAAGTATTGAGGTAGGAATCCAAGTTTATTTTTCTTCCAGGTGGCTACCTAGTTATTGTAGTATTTGAAATGTTATCTATAGGTTTACTTAGTTCCTACATAGAATTTGGGGTTATTACTGGACTTTTCTTTTTTCTTTTTTGTTCATCAGCTTACCTATGTGTATCTGATGATCCCATTTTTATTGTAATCCTCACACATTTTACATTCCAGAGTTTTCCTGAGTAGTCTTGCTTGTTTATTTTTCCATAAAACTGAGAATAAGCATTTCATGTTTCCCTCCCCCACCTTGGGGTATGCTCATTGGTACTGCAGAATAAGTATAGATACAGCGATAATTGTCATCTTCTGAGGCTCAGGCTTCTGTTTAAGAACAGGGTATACATTCATTTCTTGTTGTTCCAGTCATCTTTTGCGTCCTTCAGTAACATTTTAAGGGTTTTTTTTTTTTTTTTTTAATGTAGCTTTTCACATTTCTTACTATGTTTATTCCTTGGTATTTTATCAGTTTCTTTTGCAATTGTAAATGGCTTTCTATTTCTGTTTTATCTGTTGTCTTGTTTGAATACAGGACTGCTATTCATTTGTGAGCATTAGTTTTGTACCTTCCCTCCTTTGGAAGGCTAATACTATTTGTAATAATTTTTCAGTTGT